AAATATGTGCTGCTTTTTGCATATCAATTATGCCTCAAGAAAGAAGGGTAGGAAGATTTCTCTTTTCCCTTTCTGAATAATTCAGGGTTATCGCTACTAGGTAAACCAAGGAAAAGAAGCATCCACATCTCAAAGAAATGTAAAAGAGCAGTTAGAGAGGTGATGCAGGGTCCTAGAACAGTGTGTCAGAGCCAAACCAGGGTGAAGAGGAGTTTGTCATAGAATGGTTACCTGGTGCAGGGTGTGGGTATCTACATGACACAGCTGCTTGGTCCACTGAGTCCAAGTGCAAGTGGGGAAAGAGGACACTGTACATGGAGGGGACAGTTGTGATGAGATGTTGTTTTTATACAGATGGAGTAAATGAACAAGTAAATGTATTAAGAATAACGATATTCAGATTTCTCCTTAGAGGAGAAAGAGGTCACAAACATGCAGAGTGAAAAGAAGGAAACTAAAATGATCTCTGTGAATGCAGATTGCAGCTGAAGGTATTGGTGCGAACCCACAGCTGTCAAAATAGATAGAGACGCAGACAAATAAAGATGTAGATGCATGGATATGTTGTGTTTCTGTCACACACACACATATATCCCTAACCTAGTCCACTGTGTGGGCTTAGAAGCAGCAACATCCTAACACTATGGAGCCCATCTAATACACTGACCCTGGCTTCCAAATGTCATTCTTCATTAACAGAACTGGGATTACTTGGACACATGGCCGAACCTACAGCTGATGTAGGAAAAGTATATGATAAGCCTGAAGCAAAACTTCCCTGAAATCAATATTCTAAAATAGTAAGCATTGTCATGCAAAGAAATGGCTATAACTTTTCAGCATATAAGAAACTTATCTAAATGATTTCAGGTATATGAGACTTCTTAAAACCTAATATATTCTGGTATAATATTATTGATCCGATTATAAAACAAGGGGACCACAAAATTGAGCAAGCATACTTTGTTTATTGCTTTATGCTCAGTTTTTAAAAATGTTTATTTTTAAGCCTTTTGCTACATACTGAGATTACTTACTAAACTTTGTAATCAGAAAAATTCATAGAAAAATGAACTGACAGTATTCTGGAATAGAAGCTTGCCATCTTGTCTTGGAACTGAGAAAAACTGCAAAGCATAATGAAAAACTGAACTCCTAAAAATTACTAACAAAAGAGTGACACTTACTACATGGGACGGAATATTCTGAATAGAACTAATATAATCGATAGTGGATTTTTGCTAATACTGGTTTTCAATGTTTTGCCTTTTATGTCCAGAAAGCTTCTATTTGAAAATTGCTATGATCTGCATCAATGGTAAGTTGCATGTTTTCATAAGTAAGCTGGGATATTTGCTTTTCTCTCTCTCTCACCCCAAATATAAAAACTTAAAGTATTGGTACTTACCATGGCAATTTGTTTATCTGAATAAATCCAATAAGACTCTCCTTTTTCCTCTATAGGAAAATGAATAAATCTTTGACTGAAAACCAGAATGCTCTTAGAAATCGACTGACTTCAGAACCTTTGAGGACTGCCTAATTCCTTGCTTTCAGAGATCTGTGTCTACCAGGAAGATTAAATAATGTCACTCTCTCTGGAGACCTGGAGAGCCAAGTGCGTTTTGGAACCGCAAGGATAGGAACTTACCCCAAAAGGCAGGTATTTACAGGAAAGATCTGGGGATGACACCATGGATGCTCTCTTACCCTGAGAAGCAAAGAAATAAGAGCTCAGTATGAGATTCCTTGTGGAGAGTCTAGTGCAGTCAAGCTTAAAAAAAGGTGCAGTTATATTTTGTCCTGTTGTACTTACTCAAAAGAACTGACCATTTGTTTCTATGCAGGCATCACTCTTTTTCTCTTTTCCTTATCAACTTGACATGTGGCACTGAAAAAAAAATTATAACATTTATTTGAAACTACAAAAGAAACCAAATAAGTAAAATATTCCTAAGCAAAAAAAAAAAAAAGAAAACTAAAAAACAAAAATAGAGTAATCATACTCTCTAATTTCAGCTTACATCAGAAAGGTATTATACTCAAAATAGCAAGGCATTAGAATAAAAGTAGACATACCCATTAATGAAAAAGAAATGAGGACCAGAAATACCCATACACATATAGGGACAACGAATTTATGTCAAAAAAACTAAGTGCATAAATTAGAGTAAGGCAAGTCTCTTCAGTATATTATGTAGAGAGGCTAGAGTATTATATGCAAAAGAATAAAACAAGAACACTGCTGCATACCATGCACAAAAGCACTTTATTTTTTTAATTAATGATTTATTTTATATAATTCTTACATCATTTTTCATTTTTGCATAATGTATGCATTATCATTTTGGTTATATTCCCCATACAATTGCACCCCCCCTTATATTGACCCAAGTCTTTCCTCTCCCCTGGGCGCCTCCCTCCCATGGTATGTCCTAGTTTGTAGTGCTTGTTGATTTTGATTTTTACTTTGTATTAATTAGTCTTTTTCCTGGTCCCTTATTGAGGTTTTCTAAATTCCTGCTATGAGTGAGACCATCCGGTGTTTTTCTTTTTCTTTCTGACTTATTTCGCTGAGCATGATCCCGTCTAGCTCCATCCATGTTGCTACAGACTGCATGTGTTTATCTTTTTTGATTGCTGAGTAATATTCCATGGTGTATATGTATCACATCTTGATCCAGTCATCTATTTTTGGGCATTTGGGTTGTTTCCATTGACCTACTAAAGATAGAGCTTCCATATGATCCCACAATTCCACTCCTAGGTGTTTACCCAAATGACACAGAAACATTAATTCCAAAGGGCACCTGTATCCCTATGTTTATAGCAGCGCTATTTACCAAAGCTACTTTAAATGGATTAAAGACTAACACACTTAAGATCTGAAACCATAAAATAATAGAAGAAAACCTAAGAGATAAAAATTTAAACATTGTTTTTAAGTGATGGCTTTGTGGCTGTGTCTCCAACAGACAGGGAAATAAAGATAAACAACAGAGTTTTATCAAATTAAGAAGTTTCTATACAGCAAAAGAAACCATTATTAAAACAAAAACAAACTACTGAATGGGAAAAGATATCTGTAAAATGTCGATCTGAGAAGAGTTTAATATCCAAAATACAGAAGAACTCATAAAAATCAACAACAACAAAGGCCAACTCAATTTTTGAAAATGACGAGAGGATATGAATAGACACTTCAACCAAAAAGACAAAAAGATGGCCAACAGGTCACATACCATGAAAACATGTTCACCATCTCTTAGTGTTAGGAAAACGCAAATCCAAACAATGATGTCATATTGTGCTCCTTCACACAGTGACATCTTGCTGAGAGCGGCTATATCCAAATGACATCATACAAGTGTTAGTGAGGATGAGAAGAAAAGGAGCCCTCATAGACTGTTGGCAGGAATGCTCTTTGCTGCTGCCAATATGGAACAGTATGGAGAACCCTCAAAATATTAAGGATAGAAATGTCCTAGGATCCAGCTGTCCCACATCTGGGTATTTTTGCAAAGTAGGAAAACACTAATCCAAAGAAATATGAAGCCCATATTCACACAACAGTGCACAATAACCAAGAGTTGGAAACAGCCTGCCCAGAAGAGTGGATAAATGCATGGTAACTATACCCAATGAAATACTACTCAGGTATTGGGGGAAATTATGAAATTCTGCCATTGACAATAACTTCAATAGAACCGGATGGTATTGAGCTAATTGAAATGAGTCATCAATAAAGACAAATAGTATATGACGTCACTCAATCTAGTTGATAAAGAAAACAAAATATAAGAGTATGCAACAAGTTAGCAGCTGCCACAATGAAGGGGTAAGGGATCCAGTAAGTGAGACATGGAAATCACTTTTGGTGATGAACACAATGTAGTATATATAGATGTTGGGATATGTCTGTATATCTATATAATGTCATAAACCAAACTTAGCACAAATAAGACAAAAATGCCTACAGACAGATCTCTAGTAAACCTGACATTCTGCTGTCCTGGAAATTGCAGAGCATGAAAAACAGCTCTGCCCCTTCCCTCAACCCACCAATGCCAGTGCCTTTATTGGCCTGCACCTGCGGTTTCCACCAACAGTTCTTACTAGACTCACTGCCAGATCCACTGGAAGTTAAAGCTAATATTGGTGCTTCTGAAAACAGCTAGCACAGGGTCGGTATTAAATCAAAGATGAGGACTCTGTGATTTAGTGCACGACTTGCACTTTGACTTGTCTAGGCACTGGCAGGGCCCCACGCAGTAACTGCAGTGGAGGCCACAGCCTCCAGACTTGTTCACTCCGATCCTCACAGTCACCATATTAGTAAATACCAGCATCTCTACATAGAATAGACGAGATGTGCTGCAATGCAAGCCATTGGCCACACAGCCAACACAAGGCGAAGCCTTCACAGGCCTCAATATTGTTACGCTATTGATTCCTATGATCACCTTGGAATTGGGTGGGCTGCCCACGGCAGAGGGGGCTCAAGTACCAGCACTGCAGACAGGTCCAGACCCAAGGTCTCGGAGAGTGTCTTCGGAGGCTGCAGCCAGGCTTGGCAGGATGGGGGACAGCGAGGAGAGGCTGTGAACAGCCAGGACCCCAACCTGGGATGGAAATGGCAGACAACGGAGGACAGCATCAGGGCAGGGAGAGAGGCTCGGGCTTCCAGAAACCTCCCAGAATCTCATCTTGGAAGTTGATGTCACCTCTTGCCGCAGAAACGATGGACACAGAACCCGGAAGCCAAAAGCCAGGAAGCCACTAAGCTGCGGGGCCCCGCCAAGAAGCCAAACACCGCTGCGCTCAGACCCCGCCCCCGCGTCAGGCCCCGCCCCCGCGTCAGGCCCCGCCCCCGGTGACCCCGCCCCGGGCGCGCTGGGCGGGGCCTCGCCTGCGCCTCCTTCCGTTGCTCCCGGCTCCTCGCAGCGCCTGCTGCGCGCCGGGCTCAGGGCCCTGGGCCTGGGCCTCACGGAAGGTAAATGGCGGCGCTACACTGCAAGGCGGTGTCCAAAGTCTGGGGTCTGCGAAGCAAGGACGGAGGCGGCGCGGGAGCGCTGGGCACCGCAGCCGAGGAGACTTTTCCGTGCAACGGGAAGAAAGAGAAAGGACCGGAGGCCCCTCTGTGGTTTGGGTTTTGCTGTTGTTTTCCAGTCGCTTCGATGAGGCAGCCCCACGTGCCGTCTCCGTCCCTCTGGTTGTCCAGGACTCATGTGTTCAAATGAATAGAAGGAGTGTGACGAAGCTGTGGCGTCGAACTGGTCCGCGGAAAAAGGGAATTGAACAAGAAACTAACAGCCGGACTCTCTCTGCCTCGGGGCAGGTGCCTGAGAGAGCCTGACATGCATGGGGGAGCCTCTGAGCAATTCCTCGCTCTCCCATGGCCCGTCCTGGGTGCCCTCCCACCGCTGTCCCCTGCGGAGCCCTCCCCCGGATGGGTGTTTCCTACAGCTCTAAGCTTCGGTCAACAGCCTGATTCTGGACGCGAGCCAGAAATGGGAGCAAGCGTTCATTCGGCTTCTGGAAATAGTCCCTCCGTCGTCCTTGAGCGCACTGTTACCCCATTCTCAGTCCCTGCGCAGTGGTCCTCGTTCCCCAACACTCCCCTGAGAAGAATAAGTATGTGACTCAGATGTGGCAGAAAAAATCATATCCTTCCTTTGGCCTCAGTGATTGATCAGGAATGGGCATGTGACTGAACTGGAGATTATAAGACAAGAAGGGTCTTTTAGTGGGAGGGACACGTGTTTTAGCTGCATCTGAGCCTTGGGGGATCAGGCTATGAATTGACCAGACAGAACATCTTACAATGAAGTCAACCCAGAACTTAGAGCCAGGAAGTAGAGAGAAACTGAATCATGATGGCATCAGCTGAACCCTAACATGAACCCTGAACCCTAATTGTGAACCCTCTACTTGATACCACCTTTAGTACCAGATTTTCTCAGATACCTGAGAGAAAAATCTCTTTCACGATTAAGACCATTGCATATGCTGTTATCCAAATATTACACACAATGTAAGGGAACTTTCCATCCCTGGCTTCCTCTTCCATGCAAGGACACTAAATGTATCTATAACCTTCTCTCTTGTTCAGGTCACCCTTCTACAAGATAAATAAAGAAACCTAGTGAGTGGAAAGCATTGGGAAGATTAAAAGAGGCTCAGAACCCCCATTTTGAAAGGGTAAAAAGATAGCCAACAATAGTCACTACTGGGCGCCTTTTTCTATTTAGTTCAGTCTTCAACGCCAACCAAATATGTAGACAGAGAGAAAGAGCCTCTGTTACTGACTCTATTATGGCTGGACATAATGCAATATTCACTACCCATGCCCATTGGGCACATTAAAAGACCAGTGACTGCATAGCCTCTTGCTACGTGTGAGGAAAATACTGTTTTCCTAAAGCTCCCCAAATAATGGAGGCTGATTATTTGTCATGTGAGCAAACATCATTTCATCCCTTAAAAAATTGTGTGTCTCCCAGGTGCTTACACACATAAACCATCTACTACTTAAGAAAATTATCCATACATGCTTTCTCAGATCAGTGGAGGCCCTGCTACCTTAAGCAACTCTCCCTCTTTCAATGTAACGTTTTCATCAGTGCCCTGACTCTGCTTTCTTTGGAATATCCAGCTAAATATTCTCCCATTTGGGAGGACTATACCTCACAGTTTCTTTGGGGTTCAGGATATGTGAAAGCCATTAATAACCCCATGGTACCAAAAACCGAGAATTTCCTATTAAAAAAAAAAAAAGGAAAATTAACTTTAATTCTTGCTGGAGTCCACATTGGCAGGGAGTTGAAACAGCAATCAACAGCTTGATAACTTACACTGCTTCAGATGAAGTTTGCCTAAAGCAAGGCCATAATTTCACAGAGGAAAAGTACCCATTCTTGTCAGTTAGCCATCCCCTCCCCACAACAGTGAAGCACCTGCTAATCTTGCAATGATCAGTTCCTTGCCTGTATCTCACCCACATGAAAGAAGGAAAAGAAGCCAAGTCTACTAGGATAGTTAAGGGGACAACTTCTACAAGGCTGTGAACTGTCACTTGGCCTCCCTAATGAGACCAAATGTGTCCTTTTGACCTCAGGAAAATAGCAGCCTAATTTTGACATTGATCCAGGGTCAATGGATGTTCTAGTAGAAAAGTCTCAAGAAAGAGTAGCCCCTTGATTGATTGCCTGAGCCCCTTCCTTGCAACTTCGGATTAGGCCAATATTCTCATTATTAGCCCTTTGGAGACTGCCTCATGAAATTTGATACCCTTAGGCAGTAGAGAAATCCACAGTTCTTGAAACTGGCATCTGGGGTGGACATACCCAGTCTGTATCAAGGTAAAAGTCAATTCATTCATTTTGTTTTCGCTGACATTAGGATCAGTGTGAGTTTGTGGTTGTATACATGCAGGTAGCCCATTCCCATTACATCCTATGTGTGGGCTCGTGTCCCAAAATTGCAAAGCACTGTACACTATGACCCATGACTTTGAGCATGAGGTACTTGAAATTTTTTACAGAATGAGCCTGATCTCTGTATTAATTGTTCATAAGTACACTTTCCCCCTTTAAATGATGGTTCTGTTTATTCCTTTGCTACCTGTTTTGACAGTTCACTTGGTAATTGTTCTCAGGATGCAAATTCAGTGTCTGAATTAGCTCTGAATCGTTCTTGCTCTGAATATAAGCATTGGGAGCCAGGCATATATTGTCTGTGACCCCAGCCCAGTATCTTATCCCATTTATACTACCGTATCTGTCTTGGTTAGAAGTCCTAGGGTATATGGAAATCCTCCTGAAAGTGTGTTATGTACTCTGAGTTTCCTAGTTCTGCCTTTTATTTCAGTGGTTGACTGATTCACTATAATATTCAAGTTGTGAGAATTTAATTGAATTGATGAATGGTCTATATTAAATATATTAACAAAAGCAGAAACTAAGCCTTTGTAGCCCATAGGATTTGTTTCCTCTTTATGTCCAGTTATCTGTACAGGAGCTTCTTGAAATCTATAGTCCAGATTTAGGAGAGAGTGAAGAGTCTATTGTGGAGCCAGAATGAGTCATTTTGTGGGTAGCTTTTCTTCCAAATAAATGTGACCACTAGCAGTGGTGAGTCAGGTGGTGCTCAGAGTTTTTTCTCATTACCATTCTTGGTAACTCCCCACTGCCTTTAACTCCATGCCACTTTTCTCTCCTTTGGATGCTACACACTTTTTGATGTTTTTCTTACCAGCTGCACCTCCATGCAGCCCCAAAGAGTTTTCACTTGATGACAGAGATATGGGTAAGACAAAGGATCTGCTTGTCACCTTAACTTTACTTTTATGACTGTGTACTGAATGGAGTGACTTAAAAAACCCTTGTGTTAGGAAGACTTCAAAGACTTCAGTAATCCCCACCTTTTAATACAAATATTCACAACCTCATGGAAATAACCTTTAGTGTAGGTTGAGTTCATGATTTAGTTCTAAAATAAGGGAAAGGAGATGGGTATCATTTCATTTATTCATTACTAAAGATTGTAACTTCTGTCTTGCTAGCAGACTCCCAGTTTTCCAGAAGCAAGCTGCCATATTGGAGTGACCCACCTGACATGGACATGGCACTGAGGTCTCCAGCTAACTCCAGCCCATAGAAAACAAGAGATTGAGGGTCTCAGCCCATCATGCCTTGAGGAAATGAACCCTTCCAAGAACTACTGAAGTGAACACAGAAGTGGAACCTGATCCTTCCCCATTCAAACCTGCAGATGAGACCCACGACCCAGTTTACATCTTGAAAGCCTTGTAAGAGACCCTAAAGCAGAGAACCCAGGTAAGCTTTGCCTGGATTCCTGACGCACAAAAACTGAGATAACATTATGTTCTTTAAGACACTAAATTTTGAGGTATTCGTTCCACAGCAGTAGATTATGAATATACCCTAAATTACTATTCCATTGATTTAAGGTGTATCATGGCTTTAGATAGGCAACAAAGAGAAGCAAGCTCCTTTGACAAGTTCCTGCACTTGGTGTCTTCACACGCAAGACTGTCTCACACTTTCTTATTCTGGGATATATTACTGTGTTCCACAAAGCCCTGAATAGTCTACAGCAGCAGGATGTAAGTCAGATATTGTTGGATGGAATGAGTGCCCAGGATGATGGTGTCATTCTTGCCCTCTGATTTTCATCCTTTCCCACTTACTCCACTATTATAGTTTCCTTATTCTTTGAATCCTTTCCCCCACGTTCAGAGTGACCCTCTGTTGAAAATCTCTACAAGCGATGGCCACGTGATAACTTGACCTTGCAATATTGCTATCAGACTAGACCTCCTGAAGATATTCCCCAAGGAAGATCTCTTCACATTCATTCCCAATGCTTGAGGGATTTTCACAAGCATGGAGACCTTGCTGTGGAAATCAAATGTACCTTTCAGAAATTTAAAACCCCCACACATCACAGATTTTGTACCCAGCACCCATCTATTTTCTAGATTCTGCCCTCACCAACCCAGTTGCACAACAGCAAAACTTATTCATACATAACTTCTCAGTGACAACCCACCTGTCAGATACTCTGGAATCAGCAACATTTTCTAAATGAAAGTATGCTGCTATTTCTCAGAAAAGAAAATGTACACCCCTGATCCTTTTCAGCGATGCAGGTTCCATACTGCTTTATTAAGGTAAAGTAAAGGGAGAGGATGAACTGTTCTCCATTCTATTAGGGTAAGGTAAGTAGTAGGGAACTCGGCCTAAATCACATATAACCTCAAGGAGAGAAGGGCTCTCTCAGGAGTCGATGACATTTATTCTTCACTGGAAAGCTCTAAGCGAAGATTTTTCTTTATCCCTAACCTCAAGGCCTACACACCCACACACATCCAATTCCACAACATTCTGGAGGCAACAAGGGAGATCTTTGACTATATTATGCTAGAATAACCCACCCTATAAATATTTATGGTGAAGAAGCAGATGAAAATACAATTTAGGGCATGTTCTTTTGGACTTTTAAAGGTTTTTCTCACTTTGGAAAGGCCTGAAAGTTTTTATTCTTTCCATTGAAGTATTAATACCCAAAAATACAAAATATCTGCACAAAATCTAATAAAAGACTCCAGGATCACACTAAGAATACCACTGTATGTCTCTCTACAATGGACTAATTACCTTTCCGAAGCCAAAGAGAAAAATCATTGAGAACTGAACTAACCCCATCCTCTCCTAATACTTAAGTCCTGAAACCCAAACTCACAGAGAATATCCCTAGCATAGCGTTCAGCTTCATCCCTTCAAGTTTATTTATCCCCTGTTAGTCGGATATTATCGAGGCCCTTGACCAACATAATCTTTGAAAGTCTAGTATGCCCAGGATTTACAGCCCCAAGATCTATTCTGTCCTAAACTACTACTTCCTTCATGTGTTTTTAATTGTATGAAACCAGTACTATAACAAACAGCATCCCTGTCCTCCTCGTCTCTTCTCATGAGATACCCTGTTCACCAAATATTAATAGGATGAGAGAGCAGTACCAGTGATCAGAAAGGATGATAAAGAGGGAGGCAAGGACATAAGTTACCCCTGGAATCACGATAAACAATTTAAAAATCTTTTAGCAATTTTCTTTTGCCAAAATCCCTTTAGGGCTATTCAGCCCCTAAGTATTCTCATTCTCCTCCCTTCCAGCCACACAGTGTCTCACCCTGCTGCTCCCTCTTTCTTCTCTCAACCAATTCCCCTCTCTCCCTTGAAAATAAGTAAGTCTTTATTTTACCAACATGAAATTCAGTTGTGCTGTTTTGTACTTGTAGACCAAACTCATCTGATTTAGGGAGCAGGCTTCTCCTTACATAACTTCTAATGAGCACAAGTCTACAAAGATATCTGTGCAGAGTTGGTATTGAATCACATGTCTAATGGCATCTTTCATGAAATGTTTTATTTTTTTCCCGTCTACTCTGTGACTTTTACACAAGTTCTTCTAAGATCTCCATAGTTTTTATTTTAAAAAAAAATTATTTATTTATGCATACAAGAACTGTGGTACATGCCAGAGGGGCAGGAGGTGAGAGAATTCACCACAGACAGAGTGGGGAACAGAACAGGCATATTGACTGAAATATACTGCGGAGTGGAGCAGCAGGCGAGTCAGAAGAGGTCTGCTGTGCCGTGTGGGTAGCTCCCTGGCCGGGGATCAAACTTGTGCTGCAGTTGCTGGGGATAGATTCATAGGTTGTGTCTTACCCCTGTGCCACCAGGGAGGCCCTCTATAGTTTTTAAAATACTATCAAGATAGTGGTATAAATGTATCTGATTTCTTCATCCCATGCTAGCTAATCATTTAATGGTTATAACCTTTACAACTTTGTTATTTAGATTATAAACTGCTGAAATGAAGCCCTCTGTCATTTTATTGGTTTGCTTCTCTGTGTTCTCAGCCTGAGTCTTATAGATTAGTGTTGGCCACACCCACCCAATCATTTCCCTCCCACCTAGAAGGGCTTATCAGTAATGATAGTTTCTTTCTGTGCTGCCCTTTAAATCCACCTCTTCACCAGACCACCGAAAAGAAAGCTACACGTCAAGCACAACCCTTCTCTTGTTCCCTACCTTGACTGAAGGAGGAATCTGTTCAAAAAATCTTTCCCACGTCAGTTTGCATCTCTGGTACATTTTTTTGACCACATTGGTCCTGCCTGTACCTACAGTCTGTAGGACTCACAACAGTAAAAGCATCCTTTAAAGTTTGAACAAGATAAATACCACCAAAAGATGTCCAAGAAAGAAGGGTCTTATAAAAATGGTACATCAAATTTATTCTTGAAAATCATCTGGTCATCAGCAAGAAAGGCAGAGAACCTGATCCTGGCAAATGGAAACCAAAGACACATGACGATGAATGTAAATGTGATTATGGACTGATGCATGATGGAGGTTAAATAAAAGGGCCACAATGAAACATTTGGAACACTTTGAAAAATTACAAGAAAAAAAAATCACAAAGGACATTCATTCCTCAATAAATGGGCAAAAATGGAATATGAAAGAGATTAAAATTTTATGACAATTGTAACTGTACTATGAGTGCAGAATGGATATTTTTATTAAGGAATACACAGATATTCAAGAATAATGTGCAAAATTCATGAGATGTATTTCTCAACATTTGGAAATGGATACAGAGAAAAAAGGATGCTAGGGAAGGAGAATAAACTGAAATAGCAGAGATTTTTTTTAAATGGATCAAATATTAATTGGTAATCTGAATAGAGTATGTAATTGTTTACCATCCATGCCCCTTTTCCACACATTTGTCAGATATGTTCTTTACATTGCAATTTCTGCGTTTGATACCCACAGCTGCCATCACCACCCTACCCAGACCCCAGAAATGTGCAATGCCGACTCTAAAGCAGTTGACTCGGGTTCTGTGTCAGGCAGAACTTGGGACATCTTGTACATGAGTCATGCGGACATTGCAACAGGGTTTTACAAAATACTGGAAATACTAGTCTCCCTCCCATTAAAAAAAATTTAATATACACACTGTAAAAAACAAAAAATTCCACATGTTTTCAGCATATAACCCTAATTTCTTATCTGGTGTCTCCAGGAAAGATCTCATTCATTTCCTGGGGTTACATGGTTTGAATGGGTTTGCCACCTCTGCTGGTAATTACCACTCCTCGTGGATTTCCATCTCCCAAAATGTATTGACATCATTGTTGTAGCTTCTCTCTTCTTGTCATCAAGCGCTTCAACTTTTTAAATCACTGTTAATGGTTTTATTGAAATAGAGTTCACATACCTTATGTTTCATCCATCTAAAGTATATAATTCCATAACTTTTAGTATATATCACAGACACATATAACCATCATCATGGCCAAATTTAAATAATTTTCATGAAAATGAAAAGAAACCCAGTAAACTAGCTTTCATCCCTCTTTTTTTCTCATTTCCCCACTGCAATGCAACAGCTAATCTACTTTGTCTTTCTGGATTTCCATATTCTGGATATTTCACCAGGTAAATAATGTGTGTGGTCAGTTGTCACTGGGTTCTCTCACTTAACATGTTTTCAGTGTCCGTTCACATCACAGCAATATCAGTAGTTTTTCTTGCCAAGCATGTTACCCTGATTCTGTGGAAATAGAGCATTATATTTACCTATTCTTCAGTGGATAAATGTTAGTGTTGTTTCTATCTTTTTACTATTATGAGTAGTAGTACTATGAGCATTCATTTACAAGTTTGTGTGTGGAAAGATGTTTTCATTTTTCTTGAGTATATATCTAGAAGTAGAGCTTCTAGGTCATAGCCTGAGTCTATGTTTGACATTTTGAGGAACTTCCAAACTGTTTTCCAGAACAACTACACCCTTTTCCCTTCCCACGAGCAGTATAAGGGTTCCACTTTCTCTACCTTCTCACAAACATGTTATTATCTGATTTTTTTAGTCTAGCCATCCTTGTGTATATGACATATCATCTCATAGAGGTTTTGATTTTCATTATCTGCTGAATGATGATTTTCAATATATTATCTAATCTTTTACTATGATAGCATTTTGGAAAGGAGAGTAACAAGTGCTTGATCTGTGTTTAACTGAAAATACAATGACTCATTTAAATATGACAAGTATCATTTTCTTCTAAAAATTTGAAACCATTTACATAGAATATCTTTGTCAACATGTATAGTTTTGTACTTCTGAGCGTTTGCATGATATAGGAACAACAATCCTGTGTGAATTTTCTCTGTGAAATTACTTTCTGCATGGGGTTGAGGGAAGAATTCACTTAAATGAGTTCTCAGTTGACTCAAAGAGCAGAAGTGTGTGCCAACCATTCTAAGGCTCAGTGCTCTTTCCCCAACAATGCTGTTTATTTTGGGGATATGTTCATTGCAAAATATCAAAGAAATGGGAGAGCTTCTATATTGGCAGAGAGCATATGTGCAAGAGTCGAGTTTTAAGATATTAGAGCTGACTTTCATACATTCAGCATAGTAAAAAAGATGAGCTGCATCACACTTTCTAGTTCCTAATTGTGGAAGTTGTGCGAAGGTTACTTGGGAAGTTATTTTGTTCTGTGTATCTTGTATATGTTTAAATATTGCTGTGATGGAAACTGAAAATTAAAAAATTAAGATACTAAGTGCCTCATAAGAGAGAAGGATAGCACAAAAGAATACCTGTCAAGGGTGGCCTCTGTCCATCCAGATTAGAGTGTAGCTGTGCCTCATCAAAGAAATTTTGAAACTATAACTCCTTTGCTGGTGGGTTGGAAACTATTAAATATAACAGAAGAAAAGTGGAATAGGAATGTGTTTTGGAAAGTTTGTTGATGAAAAAGTGGCTAAAAGCCCTCTCGTGGTTTCTCTGTGAATGGTGCTCCAGCACATCTTTGAGCAAATGAGATAAGTGTGAGGGAAGTGAAGGAGGTGTTGAGTGGCACCAAAGAGAATGCACTAAAGAGACACTGAACTGAGTTGCATTGGTTGTGTTCCCATTTTACTACACATGAGATCATTCCTTGTGGTATGCCTGTCCTCCAAAACCCTCTTGTATGTTGAGTCAAAGAGAAGTGTATGCCAACCCTTGTAAGTCTGTGTATGTGCAGTTTGACCAACAGAGCATTGTCTGGAGGTCCTTGGTGAGTCCCCACAGAGAAACTGTAACTCTGGTGCACAGTCTTAGACTCACTGCTGGCTCATGAGCAGCAAGTGTTGTGAGCGAGAACTACCATGACTCCCCCAGGGACATGTGCATTGAAGGTGCTACCTCCATCCTAATAGGTGAACTCTACACACTAATGGTGGATTCTTGTCATCAAGTTTGAATAGAAAGAAGGCACCAAGACACCTTCCCCAAGGAAGAGGATGCCATGCCTGATGATGTGCCCGCAGATACTGCATTAGTACTAAAAGTACCCATGAAATCTGTGGCCAAAAGGCATCAGGATGATGTGCAGTACCGGCCCAGCCTCAGGGAGTGCTGCCTGTATCAACTGAGTAGTGGGAACAGCACAGGATCATGACATAGTGATGATGGGGTATATTGGGGCATTAACCTGTTTCACCAGCAGAATCCTGCCTTACCCACTTTTTCTTATTCCCCACTAAATTTAAAGCATCTTTTTTAGCATTCAGTTTTAGTTTACCCGGGAGGGAAGGGGCTGCCTTGTCAACACTCCACTGACAATTAGGTGATGCTTTCACTCAGCAGAAAATGTCATTATTCCTGGCAGCTCGAAGAACTACCTGGGCTAGAGAACTACTACTTCAAGGTCTCTTTGCCATAGAGAGGCCTCAGTGTCAGATTTAACTGCGCTGAACATGAGCCTTCTTAAACACCATCAGCACTGTCTCTAGATCCTACCCCAGCTAGTTCAACAAAATGAGCCCTCCAGATCCATAACCTCAGGATCCACAGTAGAAATATCCACCTCCAAACTCTCCCAATTTCAGGATACGCCCAACACCTGTGGGAACCTCCAGTCATTGACTATAAATGTGATTAAGGTGTTGTTTTTCTTCTTTCCTGTAATTGTATTTGAAAATACGCTTATCCTTGGTCTTTGCATTTAGAAGACCTGTCTTCCATAATCCCTAAAGAGTAGAGACCATACAATAAAGGAGGAGGTGTGGGCTACTATCTATTTCCAACAAGGCTGTGCAGAGCATATCTCCTCAGACTTAGGTGAAGAGAGCGTTTAGGGAGAAAACCACATACTTATATCTCAGCAAGAGTTCCAAGGGAGTGATCATTATTGAGAAACCAAAGGAGGCCTGTAGGGTAAAGAAAATATCAGGCTTTTCTGCCCTTCCGCCATCAGGATAGGTGATGGATCCTTATCCTGAATGCATGCCTGATGGCGGACACCTGAAATAGGGTGTGGGCATAGGTAGATGGGATTCAGCTGAGCTAAGACTGTACTTTTAAGGGCGGCGTCACGGGGGGACGCCAGCAGCAGCAGTAGAAGCCAAAGCAGCAGCAGTAGAAGCCGAAGCAGAAGCCGAAAGAGAAGCCGAGAAGCAGCAGAACGAACGCTAGAGAGCCCAGATAGAGTGAAGACTTGCTGGGGGCTGGGAGGCCTGCCAGCCTCCCAGCCAGCGCCCCTGCCTGCCATATGCCTGGTGAACCCCAATAAAAGACCTGCAAAACTACTGAGGACTCTGACTCCTCCTTTACCCGGTCTGCATGGGATCAGAAAACCTGCACTGTGCCTGTTCCTGCCTCTACAAGGCCATTTTTAAGAATTGAACTAAATCCTTCTGTTCAGCACAGCCGTGATTTATGCAAAACCCATGTCCCAGAAACATAAGACTTTGCTATTAAAGAAGAATTTATTGGGGATAATCAATCTGATAAACAATAAAGGAATTATTTTGGGTACAAAATTTTCCTCGCTGGAAAATTTGCAGAAGAATTTTTTGTTTACGTAGTTGACACAGCTCTCTGATCACCGTCCCTTCCACAGTGGTGAGAGACGTTGGAGAAGCGTGGCCCACGTGAGGCCTGCAGTTGGCTTTTAGATGGTATACAGATACCATGTGGGGGTGGGGGACGCTTCCCACACAATAGCTGTTCCCCAAGTGCCACAGCTTTCTGTGGATGTCCTCCCATGTCTCTGACACATCGAATATTTGTAGGATGAGTCTGGCCAGCAATGACAGCAGCTTGGGGGCAGAACTTGGCGTGTGTCACTTTACAGCAGGGACCCCTGTAGTTAAGAGGATGTCGCTGAATAGGCTCAGTGCAGGTCTGCACTTTTGTGTTCTGATGCGTTCTCCCACACCACATATCACTGGTGAATGAACGGCCTCATGATAGCCCAGCCTCTCCTGGGACTTTCCAGTGCCTGTCTTGATGTTCTGAGCTTCCAGCATCCCAGAAAAGGAAACTCTTACTTTTAAGCTGACCGCTGCTCTGCAAGCTTGATATGGAGCTGCCCTTCTCCTGGGAATTTTCTTCCCTTTTCCCAGGACGAATCCATTGCAAAAAGTGCTTCACTTTTTGCCTGAATATGTTTTCAGCAGGAGGTTGCCCCTCTTTGCTGAAAACCTGGGCAGTCTGCCTCCAGTGTGCCTCATGTAATGCCATGTTCCGAGTGGGAACGCTGTGCCTTCTGGGTTGGGGTGTCCCCAGCCTGGCGTCCCCTCCACCCAGCTCATCTGTGTTGGTCCCCCGAAGACTCACTCTCTTGGCAGCTGGAAGGAAATTCTTATCCTGCCACCTCTTGAAAGCATGCTGACAAATCCCATTCCCCAAACGCCGCCCCGGGCTGAACCCACTGTCCACCAAGTGGGCCTGCAGCACCTGGGAGGCCTCCATGTCCCCACTGGAGATGCCCTGAGCATGAATCAGTGAGGACTTGACGGTCAAGTTATCCGAAGAAAGTGATGCTGGTGGAGGGCTCCCTGGCTTGCTGGTTATCAAAATGTCACTAGATTTTGATCGAGGAGCATCAAGTTCCTCAGCCCTGAATATCTCCCTGGACATATCGGCTTTGGAAAGCATCTCTAAGTTCTGGCGCCTCTCTTTGCCCTGCAGCATTTCTGCTCTACTACTAAAACTTGTGTGTGGCCACAGCCTGCCTTGCAGGCGGCATGGGGGGGCACCTCGTGCCTCGGGGACACTGAGTCTGCCTTGACTTGCCCGGGAGACTGTGTTTGACAGGCAGAAGACTGGGTCTGCCACCCTTCATCCTCTGCGCACCCTCTGCTGGCTCCTGGGTGACGGCAGGGATTGGTTCTCTCACGCTCCCTTCTCTGTCCCTGCCCAGGTGTGAGGTAGCAGGGACAGGGTGAGCTCGCACAGGACCTACACCTGTTAGCCCCACCTTCTCTTCCCCATTCGATTTTCTTCTAATGGACGTGAAGCCCCCTGATTTGGAGTCCTCCTGAGTAGTCATGTTGGTTGAGGAGGGATGGTTGGGAAGGGAAGAGGTTTCTGTCTCTTTGAAGATGTCTAAGGATTGACGGACTCTAGAGGGAGGTCCCAATCGCATCCCCAGACGAAACCTCTTCATATGGTCTTCCAGCAAATTCTGCGCGCTGGACTTCATGAAGGAGAGCTGCTGGGAGGTGTTGAGGGAGTAGTCCTGAGGCACCGCTGAACACAAATTGTCCTGCCCTACTTGGTTGTGCGGTTTCGCAGAACGCTGCAGTGACTGCTTATCACTGTACACTGGACTTCACCCAGAGTTAGGGAGCTGACTCTCATTAATTTGCTCAAATTCCTTACTCAAATATCCTCCCAGGGCATTTTCCAGTTCAATGTCATGTAGACTCCCCTCTGAGGCCCTTGAATCTTTCCCTGAAAAACTGATAATGTGACCATGGTTGTTCTCCCAGTCATGCCTCTGTTGCTGCTCTGAAGAGCTCAAAAGGTTATTATCTTTTGAGACTTTTTCTGGGCTATGTCTGTCGTACCTCCCTGCATCCTTCTTAAACTGAGTCATTACTGAGCTCTTCCTCTCATGGACACTTCCAGATTGGCTCAGTCCAACATTTAGAGTTTTGCAACTCCGACCCTGAAGCACAGTGCTTCCCGAAGGTGCACTGTAGCCCCCCAATTCATTTGCCTCTGACAGCCATTCTGGAGGCATCTGTAATGACATGGAATGTACGATCCTTTGGGGCAAGCCACAACAGTGTTGGATAAGCCTCTTTCGAAGGTGATGTTCTAGTTTTCTCCGAAGTTTATCACTAAAGGGAAAATCTCCAGGAAGGATGGAGATGCATTCAGAGACAAGGGAGTCCCGGCGTTGAGGAAAATTGGGAGGTGAAGTGCTAAAGTCTTTGTAAGAACTTTGGACAACAGCGGGTAAACCCCACACATTTGCTAGTTGCTTCTGCACACGTGCCATCCCAGGAATTCAGTATCAGCAGGTTGGAGACAATCTGGGTCATTCTCGGGTCTATTGAAAAACACGCCACAGATCTTAATTTGGTGTGAAGGGCCAGATGGTTGGGCTGGGATTGGGCAAGTCAGGTCGGCTGGCGGCTGGGATTGTGGCATGGACGGGGACTGTGGTGGAGTTTGAGGCAACGCTGGAGTCTGGATTTCGGGTGAGGACAGAGGGAGGGGCTGGGGAAGCTCTGGGGCTTCTTGATTGGTGGAGGCATTTGATATTCTATTGAAAAAAGAGACAGGGGGAGCGCCCCCCGAGAGAGAAACGGCAGAGCGCAAGGACTCGCTGTGTAGGGATGGGAGAACCCAGAAGAGCTGGATGCATTTTTGCTGTAAATGGTCCCCCAAAGATTTAAGATGTGGGGGCAGTTCATGCATCTGCAGCTCCTGTGGTTTGCCTTTGGGGCTTCCTTGGGGAAGGGAGACTGCTGAGTCATCCTTATCAGCAGGGGACCCTAACATTTCCCCTGAAGATTTCGGTTGGTACCCTGGTCCCTGTGGTTTTGGAAAGGAATAACTATTCTTTTCCTTGTCCTTCCACATCAGGAAATCACTCCGCTTTTGCACTTGCCTCTCTAGGAGTTCCAAGACGTCTGCACTGAGAAATGGCAGGTTCACAGAGGTCTCGAAAGACGGAAGGGCAAGCCATTCGTGAGTGAAGTCCCCACGTGGTGCCCAGGTAGAGGCTAACCAGTCTGAAACAGAAAGCCCTGGTGGGCTGCAGGAGGTGGTGTTCTCTGAGACCGTCTTGAATGAGATGGAAATTGCTTTAGATTGAGTCCGAGTTACCGTGGTGTCTTGAGGTGATGAAACAGACAGTGTTGGTGGTGGATGATGATAACCATATGGATCATCAGGATTCATTGGTTGTGGCAAATTAGGTAAGGCTTTGATACCTTGACAGAGGGTGGGGTCCCCTGAGAAGATGTTATTTAGAGACAAAGGGGTGTGTGCTGGGAGCATAACGTCCACTCTCTTAGTGTCATATTGGGGGACTGGGGAAAAAGCACGGTGTTGTGGTGAAGAATGGCCTGCTGGGAATTCAGGACCCAGTGAAGGAAAAGGCTCTGGTGACAGATTGTATCCCAGTGAGGGTGCAAGAAACTCATCTAAACAGGTCAGTGGATTCGGTGAGTGAAGAGGGTTGGAGAGGGGTAGTGGGGAAGGTTGAAGCAAAGAAACTGGTATTTGGTCTCCAGGGGGAGCTGCTGGGAAGGCAGAGGACATTGTGAATGAGGACCCAGCCATGGGAGCTGTGGAGGTCAAAGGAGAGACAGAGGGAGCATCTTCCAGGGCTTCTGAGAACAGCAGTTGGTTGATCTCAGCAGTTGCTCTATTACACACTTCACAGAAGGGGTCTGGACACAATAGTTGGCGAAAGCGGGTGGTAGCATGTTTCTGGCCCAGGGAACTGCAGGAGACAGGGGTGTTCAAATTGCAGCCAGGGCCAGAACCATGAAAGGATGACCCGTTGGCCTGGCAGGGATGGGACATCTAACTCTGCTTCTTCACATTGCCCCGCTCTGTGACCTCACAATACCCTCCTTCCCGTGGCTACCCCTCCCACGACTATCCCCTCCCATGACTACAGCGGGTAACACTAAATCCCTAGGTCATGCTACAGTGGCCTAGGTCATGCTACAGTGAGGTCAGGGCAAGGACAAGTCACCTTTCCACTGAAGCAGTCAGCTTCCTCTTCTGTGTCACTCTGGCAATAGCTCCAACCTGGGAAACAAGAAGGTGGTATATGTGATGAAAATAGAAGTGTAGGTTTAATGCAGGAGTCCCTTAGGAGCGACCTTGGGGCTATCTGGCACTGAAATGCTCAACAATCACTAGAGGAAGACAGATGGCAGTGATACTATCAACCAGTGTCTCGCCTGCTGCTCCCCTAAGCAGTGTATTTCGGTCCTTCTGCCTGTTCTGCTCCCTTTTCTATCTCTTGTGGATTCTCTCTCCCTCCATGCCTCTGGCCTGAACCCCCGTGTTTGTATTAGGGTCGTGTGTATGTTGCTTCATGTCTAAAGACTTTGATGTACATGATCTCCTGTGATGCCCTAAACCACCCTGGAAGGAATGCAGGTCAGTGGTTCCCTCAAAACGGAATGGATCATCCATGAAGTCAGAGAACTTTTAGAAAGTCAGGCCACTGAATCTCTGACTCTCAGTATACCCCATGGGCCTGTCAGGCAACGGCCATTACCCCGGCCCATCACTGCTTCCTGTCCCGGGGCGGCAGAGCAGGGTACCTGACATACCTCATCCCATCAGCCGCTCCTCGAGGGCCTGTTTCTGAGAGAGACTACTATCCGCAGAAATCACAGATTTGGGGCTTCCTGCAAGAGAGGGAAGGGCGGCCTCGGAGAGCGCGGGTGGAACAGGCAGACCCTTACCTGTCAGTGTCCCCCCTTTCCGCCTCCTCTTGGCGCTGCACTGAAAACAAAAAGAATAAATGATTGATTCTCAGTTCACTCCTCTGTGGAGAAAACTCAGACATGCATTATCTAGAATGAGAAGACTCTGCTTTCATTAACTGAACTTTGTATTCCTTTTTAAAAATACCTTTTTAAAGTGCTAAAGTATTTTCTGGTTTTCCTTCTGGAAAAAGTCAGGGATTTTGTCTATGAGATACACATTGCTATTCTCAGTCAACATCCTGTATATAATCTGTTGGGATGGGAGCCTGTATCTTGGATTGCGATCTCGGGCTACAGCCTCTCCTCAGGGGACTGCGCTCCTGATCATCTCAACATTCAGGAAGACTTGATGGAGTGACACCTACCAGGGTTGTGACTCATGACCCAGTGTTGGGGCCTGTGTGTCCCGCAGAGATCTCAGACACTGTCCTGATCAGGAACGCAGGGGCATGGTGCTTACTTCCACCACACCCAGCTGGTCTGTGAGCACCTCGTGAGCCTAGTCCTACCTACTCTATTCCCTAGGAGCATGAGGTGTATCCTGGTCACACATCCCATCTTAGGTGTCTCCCAGAACCAAGCAAACTTATTTTAAAATGTTGGAACAAACATGGAAATGGCAATACAGAATCTCTATTGGGGAATTGCCCAGTGTTCCTTACCTTTCTCCTCTCTGTGGTTTTCCAGCCAGTGAATAGAGATGGAATCCCCACCAGGTAGCACAGGAACAGAAAGACCAAACAATACCCACATAGGCAAATGAGGTCAGGGTCAATATCCAAGGATATTGAGCCAAAGCTCAGCCTGGACTCATCAATATGGCATTTCAGAAATGAAAGAGCATCCCATTTACTGATTTCCATATTCTGAATCACACGCTTGCCTGAGGCAACTGAACCTGAGAAGGCTAGCACTGGACTTTATTTAGTCCCTTGCTTATATCACAGAGCTCTGAAGTGTCTCAAAGGAAACCTGGGAGCAGGGGCGGGGCTACCACAGACTGTGCCCATAGCCCCTCCCCCAACTCAGGTCCAGCAGGTTCCTCTATTCTCCATAGCCCAGGAGGTTTCTCTACCCTAAACTATCATCCAGTTTTCCAGTTCCACCCTCCATCATATATTTGCTTCGAGGATATATGCTTCTTGTATCTGTCACGCAGATGGAAACTGAGCTCCTCTTTACCGTTCGAAAACCCTGGCTTGAGTCTCACCAATTAACTGCCTTGAAAGTATGCAATACTGCTAGGAATGTTTGCAGACATTGACACTCAACATCCTATGTGTCCTCAAATCCATCTTCCCCATAGGATGTTTTTGCCTATTCAAACTCAGATACAGACCTACAGTGCTTTTACACTGACTTTTATTATGAATGCCAAATAGTGAATTTTAGTTTTGTGATTCTGTCAGTTTCAATCATCTTTAATCAGCGGGGCTGATACAGTTAAAGTGGACAGTTCATGATTCAGTTTCAGGACACAAAAAAAATGTGTAAAATAAATGTGAATAATTAACTTCTAATGATCTTGGATAAGTCTGCAACAGTTATCTTTCTGAAATTAATGTTTTAAATTATAAAATCTTGTGGGACATGCTATATACACATGTGCGGATACACACACATGCACACACACATCCTTTGACAAGGTAATTTGTTATATTCAAAGCCAAAAATAAACCATTTTCCTTTTTCTTTCAATATTTCATTTTTAATTTTGTCCCTACTCCTTTCTACTTTACCTAACATACAGATAATCCCTGCCATCTATATCGGTTTCCTAACTGATATACATAGTCCTGTCTTAGTTTGAGTTTCTATGATAAAGATACCATAGACTGGGTGGCTTAAACAACAAACATTTATTTCTCATAGTTTGGGAGGCTGGGAAGTTCAACATCAAGTTTCCAGCAGATTCCATGTCTGCAGAGGCCTGCTTCCTGGTTCTTAGATAGAAAGCTTCTCCCTGCAACTTCCTGTTATGCAAAAAGGGAATGAGAGTTTTCTGGCATCCCTTTTATGAAGGCACTAATCCCTTTCATGAAGGCTCCACTCATAAGATCTAACCATGTCTGATAGGCCCTATCAACCATTACCATCACTCTGGGATGACAATTTCAACCTGGGAATTTGGGAGTGGGTCAAGGGATGGGATGACACACACATTTAGTCCTTCACCCTCGCTGGCTGGGATATGCAAAACTATTGACCTCCTCCATCATCTCAGGGCATGGTTGGACCTACCACTGTCAAAGTCCGAGAGCAAAATCTGGTCTTGAGAAGCCTTCCCTGATTATCCTTGAGGAACTTGTAAATATAATCATTTTTCCCTAAGCGTTCCTTGTGGGAAAAAGTTCTTCACTAAATAGTCACACCCACATAGATTCGAAAACCTGTCACTTTTTTCAGGCTCCTCTTGTCAGATTTAAATGATGCCAACACCTCCCTCCCCTCTATCTACATCTACTATTCTAAACTCTTTATTTTCATGACAGCTGTCCTCTGTCCTCTGAACTTCTTTACATTATAATGCCCTTTATTTGACACCCATGGCCTCACATTGTCACTTGACAGGCAGAGTTTCCTTTCAGTTATGCAGGAACGGGTAACCTGCCTTGAGGATAAAATCTGCCAAGCAGCCTCACTTCCTCCTCACCTTGATATGCAGCCCAGCCAAGTTTTCACTTAATAAACATTTACTGCTGGAAACTAGGAAATGCAAGTACCTATCAGTCATGGTCTTTGTCCTTAAGGACCTCAGGGTACTTAAAGCAAAACCCTACAGCAGTCAAGAGTTACACTCTGCACAGGACAGGTTTCCCCCAGATTTGTGAATTGTCAAGCCATCCCTGGAATAGATTCAAGAAGTGTGAGAGACTGGGTCTTAACTGTGCAAACATATGGGACTCCTAAGGAAGGCACCCCTGCCTGCCCACCCTCTCCATTTACTGATATAAATGAGCAGTTCTTTGAGAAGATAGTCAAAGAACAGCTTTTCTTTTTTAAAAGGGCATGGGTTGGCTAGATATCCTTACTTACATATGCATGCCTTAAGTTAAAACCTAAAGAAGTTTTAATAAGGCTTTTCCCCAAATGCAAATAAGATTCCTTTTCATAACCTGGTAGTAGCTCCTTCAAAATTTAAAGGGACAAGATATAAAAGATACAAATATTTTTCTTTTTGTGCCACCAAAAAATAAACTCCATTGATATTTAGTAGGAGAGGTTCTTAGCACATATCCTTTTACAATAACATCAACTATAAATAACTAATTTGTCTTATTTGTAAAGTATTTAACTTTTAGTGATCTCAGTGGACTTTACAACCACTCTGTGATATAAGCAAGAAAGGTATTATCATGCCTTTTTCATCGAGGAAAAATACTGAAGCTCTGTCATATATGGGTTAGCTCCCTAGCAAGGGATTGAACTAAGTCTGCAGTGATCATAGCATGATAGAGCTGAGACTTAACCCCTCCACCATCAGGGAGGCCCCCCACTTCTGGCCTACGCCCAGTTCTTCTATGCATAAATAAATAAAATTAAATCTTAAAAAAAAAAAACTGAAGCTCAAAGAGGATAAGCAACTTCCCTAGATCGTTCAGCTAATAATATTTACAATAATATTAATAAGTGAGTTCTTAAATTGCATCCCCTAGTCCTAAAATTAAAGCAGCAGTGTGGCTAAGATATTCATGTTGTCCATGCAATGCTGGCAAATTTGGGAAGTAAGAGAAAGGTATCCTATCAGCTCTTAGGTAACTTTTCCTTTGCATTCTATGTAGGTTTTATTCTCTTGCCCTCTTCAAATCTGCTTTCAAGAACTATATTACATATAACTTCCAGCAAGGTATAAATGAATAATAAAAGTTTAAAATGTCATCTCTCTCAGAAATACATCTCATTTTACATATATCCAGCCCCAGAGCCATATAATAAAGCTCTCACCAGAACACTTCAGGCAGCCCTCAGGAGGTGACAGAGATGACTTTTGGTGGAGGGAGATCTTCTCACACCCCCATGACTTTTTTCCAGTTGACTAAGTAACCATACAGAAATCTGGTCCAGATTTCATGCTGCAATTGTTTTTACAGGTCTTCCTTGTTTTATGGTGTCATTATGTAAGTTCATCATAATTTGAAAATATCAAAGCTTAAAATGCATTTAATAAACTGAACTTCCTACTAAACATCATAGCTTAACTAGTCTACCTTAAATGTGTTCAAGACATGTTAGCCTATAATTGGCCCAAATCACTGAACACCTCTTTTATAAAAGAGTAATGAATAGCTCATATAATTTACTGAAGATGCCCTGAAAGTGAATAGCAGACATGATGGTATGTGAAAACAAAAAAGGCAGTATCTGAAAAGCACTGGCAGCACAGTGAACTGTAATGTATCAGTTCTTTACCCTCCTGATCTCATGGCTGACTGGGAGCAGAGTTTGCTGCCTCTGCCCAGTACCATGAGAGAATATTGCTCCACTTATCACTCGTTAAGGAAAAGATCAGAATTAGATGTAAAGTTTCTACTGAATGTGTATCCCTTTCACACCATTGTTAAGGCCAAAAAATCGTAAGTCAGACCATCATAATTCTGTCACCATCCGCATTGTCTCTTAGGAAGAATACATTCCGCTGCTTTGCTCAATGAATCGAGTCGATATGGTGAGACTCAGAATAGATAAATGATTAGTTTAGGATTCTCATATCTTATTTTTCAGTTTTCTAGGAACAGTCCTCAATGCTCTCTCACTCACACACTGATCACTGTCCCTGGGCTAAGCCACATAGCCTATGTTCGGGACAACGAAAATTCTGAAGAACAGTATTTAGGACAAAATTCTTCAAAACTGTTTTTAAAGGACTAATTTGCCTGTCATTCAGTCAAACAACAGTTTCTTTATTGCATTCCACTCTGTATTCTAGTATAAATATCAGTAAGATAAGGCATTACCTCTGTCCCTGGGGAAGGTCATACCTGCACACAACTACAATGTGATTTAAACTTAAAGGAACAGGAAAAAGGACACAAAGAAAACACAGATAAAGGAGCAATTGAGCAATTAATTCTGCCAAGACATTGATGGAGCTGGAAGGGATTATGCTGAGTGAAATAAGTCAGAAGGAAAAAGATAAATATCAGATGGTTTCACTTATATGTGGAATATGGAGAAACCAAACAAAGGATCAGGAAAAAGACAAACTTGCAGCTGACCACAGATCTAAGGCACAGAGCAGGGGAGGGGGAGGGAGAGGGGCCAAAAGGTGGAGGGGCGGACGAGGACAAGGGGCAGTGGAGAGGGATCACAGGTGCTGTGGTGTGGGAGAATTACAGGGAGGGTAGAAATCAAATCCTGCCCAGAAATTAACAACAATGTAAGAAAATAAGTTTAAAAACTCTTCTGCCAAGGAGGGAGATGGGAGAGGGTAATCTTCAGAATTGGCGCCAACTAAGATGGACCTTGTAAGGTCCATGTCCATCTCCTCCCCTGCCCACCTCCTTCCTTCTCCTCCTCTTTGCTTAGACTTGTTTTTAAGAGCAGTGCTAGGTTCACAGTAAAGATGAGCGGAAAGTACAAAGGTCTGGGTTTCCCCTGATACACACACACACACACACACATCTTTGACAGTCAAAATCCAGTGCCAGAATGAGACATTTGTTGCAATGAACCAACAGTTGACACACTACTATCACTCAAGACCATAGTTCACATTAGGGTTTACTCATGGTGTCCTACATTCTGTGTTTAAACAAATGTATAACAGCATTACCGTTGTAGCACATTGTAGTTCCACTGTCCTAAGACTTCTCTGAGCTCTTCCCATTCATCCCATCTTCCCCTTTCCCTTTGCAACCACTGATCTTTCCAGTGTCTTCAGAGTTTTGCCATTTCCAGAATGTCATATAGTTGGAATC